TATATATATATATATATATATATAATGACATTTTTATGCATTAATATATTTCGATACTCCTTCGTCGTTTAACTCGCAGCATCCATTGATCGGTCCATCCGCCTCGTTTCGAATGGTCCCCTGGGCGACCGCAGTTATGCAAATCGAGATGATACACCATTAACGGTATCCCTACAGCGCGTCCTTCTCCGCGGAAGCCAATCAGCGTCGCGAGAGGCGCGTAATTAGCAGTTACATTATATCCTTCGGCTTTCGTGCATATTCGCACACGTATACGCGTGCGCGCGCGCGCGCAAATCGACGAGAGGCGCGCGTGTACGTGCATATACGCACGCACACACGCGCCGGTTGTTCTCGCGCTTGTTAAGATTCATAAGGCGAACACGCGTTACACGCGACCCGGTGGCCCTCATTAGAGCTCTAATTGCGTGCGATTATCCTGGCAATTACCCGGGGAATACATTACGAGTCGCCGAATCGCGATCACGCGGACGTCGCGTATGGCGTCGCCATTTTCTCAGTTTCGCTGCTCGACAGAAACACATCCACCGATCTAAAATCGCGCGCATACCGTACATATCATAGAAGCACGCACGAACAACGTTTTGATTTCATTAATAAAAAAAAAAAAGGAAAAATCGTCCAATCGTTCCGTCGGTCTCTCGTAAACTCGACCGATCGATGTAGTAATAGCACTTGACGATCTCTTTCGAAACTTGTTGACTTTCGCCGCGTTCGCCGCGTTGTCTTAGATAAGAGGCCCCAAGTGGATTCACACTTCTACGGTCTTTTGAACACGTTAATCCACCGCTGCTGTTCGATGTGTAGGCAGCTTAACACGCGCCGGGGCGGTGCGTGTAAGTGCCGCGCGCGAAAACTTTGTTGGCCGATAATCCGCGCGGGACTTTGTAGTCACGCGAGGAGGCCTTGTCGGAATTCCACGTGGATATTCGCGCCTTATTAACGACCTCGTCGTCGCGCGGTCCACGAGGGCAGCACGTAATAAAGTACAGTTAACAGTCTCCGAGCCCCGGCCTCCTGTTCCTCGAACGTCATGGAAACGAATCTCTCGCCGGGTTGACGTGGACGAGAGAAATGTGTAACGGCGAAGAGAGAGATTGTGTCGAACCGGAGGCGTGCGTTTGCCTAGAAGCGTGGAATTCCGCCGACCGGCGCTCACGCCTTGTCAACATAAGGCCCACAGTGGAGAGTAAACGGTTCGCCAACAGAAAAAAAAACGCCGCAACTACTTATTCTCGCGATCATGCCTTCTCATGCGAAACGATATTTAAGGACAAAGTCGATGGCATCGTGATATTATTACTTATTCTCGCCGCATTACTTATTAACCGCGTTTCCTCGTCGACGTTCAACGACAAAGTCGAAGGAGTTTATATAATTACTCATTTACATGCGTGATTGTATATTTATCGAGATAAATATGTGCGAAAAAATGAGCTTGGACGTATGAATAATTATGTGTGCAGAAATTAATACTTATATGAAATTAACAGAGACGCAATCATGAGTTGCGTCATTTTTTTTTTTTTTAAAGGTAAACAAAAGTACGACTGCAGTCATATAAATTGTCTACACAGTTTGGCTTATCTTATTCATGATGCAAAAAACGATTTGCATTACCAAGTGACTACGAGTTTTCTTTACGATACGATAGCGGTTGCTATCATTTATCTATACCTTCTCTACATTCTACTTGCTTGCCTTCGAATATTTGAACAACATTGATTCTAACTATGGAAAAAAGTTTACAAGTTTGTCTTATTTAAATTTGTCATTCATTATAAGAAAAAAATTTCGTTGATATTCTTGGCGTTTAATATTTTATAACTAGAAACAAAATAGTGAGTCCACAAAATATCTTTTTTTTATAAATTAAA